CCCCCAGCCTCATCCTATGACCAACCCTCCCTCTCATCCCCGCCTCCTTGACCTGACACAACCTGTCCATCTTCTCTCCCACATATCCATCTCTCCCACCTCACTGACCAATCCCAACCACTGCCTGCCTGCACTCACCTATCACCATCCCACCTACCTTCCCCAGCCCAACCCCTCCTCTCTATTTATTTCAGAGCTCCCTTCCCCCTCTCCCATTTCTGAAGACGGGTCCTGACCTGAAACATCAACTTTTCTGCTCCTCTGATGCTGCCTGGCCCGCTGTGCTCCTCCAGCTGCACACTGTGTTATCTCTGACTCCAGCATCGGCAGTTCTTACTATCTCTGAATGGTCAATGGATATTTTTCAGGCTGGAGGAAGGTTTGTAGTGAAATTCCCCAGCGGTTGTTGTTAGTGCCCTTGCTTTTCCTGATATATATAATGATCCAGATCTTGCAGTGGGCAGTTTCAAAGTTTGCAAATGAAACAAAACTTATAAGAATTGCAACTGTGAGAAGACAGGGTAGTACTTCAGAAGGACATGGTGGTTCGGGCAGGTAGGTGGCAGATGAGCTTCTTTCAGGACTTGAAATCAATGTCAAACTTTTGAACTGAGGCCTTCAGAGGTTCTTTGTAGTGCTTTCTTTGACAGACATGACAGCACACCTCAGGTTCAAACTGTCCAGAGAAAAGTCACTTTGGTAAAGTGAGTGTTAGGCATTCTAAATGACTAGCCCAGCCCTGTGTGACTGTCCCAATATGGTGTGGATGCATGTCATGCTAGCAGGCTGAATCCATTGACAATTGGGACAGGCTAGATGGACAGTTTGTCTTTTCTTATGTTTTGTGTATGAATTCACAGACCAAACTTATCTTCACAGCTTTGTGGTGTTTTGTGTCAAATTTGAAATATTTTCAGCCATGTACTAAACCTTCATGTGGAATAAATTTGAATAATTTGATTTCTGATGTGATTTAACTCCATAGTTTGGAAAACCTGTTGTGCATATGATTTGTTGCACTCTATTTTATTTTTCTTCTGTGTGCAAACTTAAGCTTGGGGTTACTGTTCCTTGGGAATTGAGTTCTCTTTAATATTGTGCAAGAGTCCATTCTGTAGCTTAGGCAGTAAGTATTGAAAGGACTGTCTTGTTATAGGGGCCATAACAGCAAGTCCAACTTGTCATAATCCATAGTGGAAGAAACCCTGACAAATTCTCTATCCCTGATAGCAATAGGTGAATCCAGTTATTGCATTCATAGCACTGCCATAGTTGAGATGAGTAATTTTGGTACAGATAACTGTAACAGGCCAGGAGCACTACAGCTGCAGCTGAGAAATTCTGGCTAAAGGCTTTACAGAATAATGTGTTCACCCACCAAGCAATCAGATGGCTATATTATTAACTTGCTTTATACTTTGCATTTGTGTTTGGAAGCATATGGTTGTGACTCTTTTAATATCTTTCAAACTAAATATTGTAATAAAAAAATCCTGGGTGGCAAGTAAATAAACATAGAAACATAGAAGATAGGAGCAGGAGGAGGCCATTCAGCCCTTCGAGCTGCTCCGCCATTCATCACAATCATGGCTGATCATCCAGCTCAATAGCCTAATCCTGTTTTCTCCCCGTAATCGTTGATCCCATTTGCCCCAAGTGCTATATTTAGCTGCCTCTTGAATATATTCCATGTTTTGGCATCAACGAATTCCACAGGCTCACCACTCCTTTGGTGAGGAAATGTCTCCTCCTCTCCCTCCTTAATGTCTTACCCCAATCCTCAGACTGTGACCTGACCCCTGGTTCTGGACACACCCACCATCGGGAACATCCTCCCTGCATCTGCCCTGTCTAATCCTGTTAGAATTTTATAAATCTCTGAGATTCCCCACCCCCCATTCTTCTGAACTCAGGCGAAAACAATCCTAACCTGGTCTATTTCTCTATATATGCCAGTCCCACCATCCCCAGAATTGGCCTCGTAAACCTTCGCTGCACTCCCTTGAGAGCAAGAGCATCCTTCCTCAGAAAAGGAGACCAAACCTGCACATGATATTCTAGGTGTGGCTTCACCAAAGCCCTGTATAACTGCAACAACATATCCCTGCTCCTGTACTCGAAACCTCTCACAATGAAAACCAACATACCATTTGCCTTCCTTACTGCCTGCTGCACCTGCATGCTTACCTTCAGCGACTGGTGCACAAGGACACCCAGGTCCTGCTGCACACTCCCCTCTTCCAATTTACAGCCGTTCAGGTAGTAATCTGCCTTCTTGTTTTTGCTTCCAAAGTGAATAACCTCACAATTATCCAAATTATACTGCATCTGCCATTGATTTTCCCACTCACGCAACCTGTCCAGATCATGTTACAGTTCACCCTCCCACCCAACTTGATATCATCTGCAAACTTTGAGATGTTACATCTTGTTCCCTCATCCAAAACATATAGTGAATAGTTGGGGTCCCAGCACTGATCCCTGTGGCACCCCACTAGTTACTGTCTGCCAATTTGAAAAGGACCCATTAATTCCTACTCTTGGTTTCCTCTCTGCCAACCAGTTTTCTATCCAAATTCTATGCAAATTAGTAAGGAAAATTCTGTCCCCTAGCCCTATATGTGTGGTAAATTGAAAATAAATTTCGGAAAAATAATTAAGATCAGAAGGAAATAATTATACACAACCCCTCCATACTTTATAATAGATTCAGTATAGACTGTGTAATCACCATGCAAAGGAAAAATCGAGCTTTATAAGTATTTAATTCCAGTGTTTCTTAGAAATTTGGCTTGAAGTTAGCTATGCTTGGGTTATTGAATTTGCATGTGTTTGGAAAAAAGTATGTATTTATATTTTACCCCTCTGTGGTTTCCCATCTTGTTTTTTCAAAAGTCATCTGCCTTGATTTTTAAATGGAAGGCTTTCAAAATGAGTAGGAGACAACAACCTTCCATTTAAAATCCTTAAACATCTGATGATAGAATGCTTACATTGTTAATGATTAAATGACAATGAGATGCATTTTCTTTTAATTATTACTGTCCTTTTTCTCCTCATTTTTGTCATATTTTTAGTTTGTTTGCTCTGCTATCGAAAAAACACAATAAAGTTCTGGAACAGGCCACACAGTCACTGAGGGGTCCCGTTGGTGCAGAGGAAAATTCACCAGTGCCCGATTATGTAAGTCTTTAAATCTAACCTATATTTTACTTTTCAGAGGTGAAAGCTGCCACATCTGTAGTGATGTAGAACTGGCTTAAGCTAAATGGTCTGTACCAACATGAACTTTAGACGAACAATTGAATTTACACAAAACCATTCTAATATTAGAGGATTGCAAAAACAGGTCAGTTTGAAATTCATTAAGTACATTGGAAAATACATCTGAAAAAGAAAGACAGTTGAGATGCTTCATCAGCACTGCCGACTTTCACCTGAACGGCTAACTCATCCCTTATTTTCAGAGACTGATTAATCTGTCGTATATTTCCATCACTTTAAATTACTTCTGATGTTACAGAATTGCTCGTTTACCAGCTAGTTATTGCATTTTAGACTGAGCCACCATTTTGCCAGTAGAGCATATGGATTTGCTATCTTGTAGAACTTGAGTTAATTTAATGTAATTGTGTAATTCACAACTATATTTTTTTGAATCTCCTGATTTTTCACTCTTAACTTCCCAATTCATGTGCAGCATGCCAATTGTGAATCATTGTTATCTGTATATTCAGTCTGTGTGAAGCCCATATATGTAACTTCCTCACCATCTTTAGTGAGGTTTGGCAATAATTAATAGATACAGAAGGGAATGAAAAATCTCCAAGTCTTACTGCGGTCAGATGCTTAGATGCACATTAGTTTGCCAACCTACAGGCAAACTGAACCCTTTCCCTCTGGTTTCCAAGAAAGCCTAATTAACCTTGTCAATAGTTGCTTGCAGTTGCGGAGGGTGATCAGAAGAACCATCCTGATACATTCACTTACCTCTATATGCTCTATATCTCATCTATTGTAACATTTTATTTTTAAAATGCTTCCAAAATTTTTGTGTGAGCAGCTCTTGCCTGTAGTTCATTCCACATATTGGCACTTCTTCTATGACGGAAAACTTCTTGTAATCATTCTTAAAGTTGCTTTTAACAAATTGGAAACTATCTCTCCTTGTACTATTTCTACCGTTTAATTTAACATAGTATTAGAGGTAACCTTTACTGTATGATTTACAATGTCGTATATCTAAGATCATCTCTTATGAAATCCAAAGTCCAAAGATGGTCAGGTTAAGTGGATTGGCCATGCTAAATTGCCCATAGTGTCCAGGGATGTGCAGGCTAGGTGGATTAGCCATGGGAAATGCAGGGTTATAGGGATGGGGTAGGGATGGGGTAGGGGTTGCATCTGGGTGTGACGCTCTTCGGAGGATTGGTGTGGATTTGATGGGCCAAATGGCCTGTTTTCACACTGTAGGGATTCTATGATTATTATATATCTTTCTTGCAGACTGCAAAGCCTGTTCCTGTCAAATCTTAGCCACAAAAAAAAATCATAGCTTGATTTTACAATAGGCACTGTGGCTCTTTCCTCTACTGCATCTACCCTTGTTTCCTGAGATTCGACCTGGACATTGCACTTGAGATGTAATCAGAGAATAATGTTGTGGTTTGATCACAGTGTCCAAGAGTGTGCATTCCATTGTGAAGAAGCAGGGAGATTAAATTATTGTCAAGTGGGATTCCACGCAGTTAAATTGAGAAACTGCTGTTAACTGTCATGACAGCTTAATTTTACTGGTACTTTTCTGCTATCACTGAATGTTATCTTGCCATAGGTGAGAAACAAATGTGTGTTCTGGAATCGGACATTAATAGAGCAGTCTGAACAGTACAGCAAAAGTTGAATTGTTTATTCTAATGCCAACTGGAAAGGTAATATTACCCGTGATGCATTATGCTTTGGATTTCAATAAATCTTATCCTCAAACAGGAATAATATTAAAGTATTTTGCTGACAAGTTTTGATCCATATGCAAAATTAACATTCAGGCATACTCATTGGCAGTCTTACCACAGGCAAAGAGATAACAAGGTGTAGAGCTGGATGAACACAGCAGGCCAAGC